CTGTCAACACAAATTGCAATTTTAACCAAGAATTTTGATGAGTTAAACCGCTACGTAAGACGTGATCGAGCCAGATCCCGAAGTAGATCACGAAATTCACAACAAAGTAACAACAACAATGATGGATTTTGTTTTTATCACAGTAGATTCGGAGAAAAGGCACGTAAATGCCGTCAACCCTGCAACTTCAAGAGTAATTCTCAGCCTTTAAACTAACAGAGCCTTCGGGGATGGTAGCGGGTATCTCTGAAGGTAATCGAACATCCCGTCTACAAGTGCAAGAAAAACAATCTGGTCTTAGATTTCTAGTCGATACAGGTTCTGACATTTCAGTCATGCCAAAGAGTAAAGTAATTATTAAAAGTAAGATTTTTGCACCAGTACCTAAAATCAAACTCTTCGCAGCCAATGGTTCTACCATTAACACCTTTGGTACTAAAACAATGACACTAGATCTTGGATTACGACGATCTTACTTATGGCCATTTACAATCGCTGATGTTACTCACCCTATACTAGGTGCTGACTTTATAAAACATCACGGCCTTCTGGTTGATCTTAAAAATCAACGACTAATTGACGCGCAGACAAAACTTTTTCTACCTGCAAAAATTAGTAGTTCAACACAACCAACAATCTGTTCTGTCATCAAGGAGCATCCGTTCTACGAAGTTTTAAAAGATTATCCTGACGTCACAAAACCAGCTGGTTGTAAACCACCACTTCATGGAGTTCAACATTACATTACGACTCGTGGTCCTCCAGTTAATGAACGTGCTCGTCGTCTAGCTGGCGAAAAACTCAAAGCAGCTAAAGCTGAGTATGAATACATGATGCAGCAAGGCTGGTGTTATCCATCAAACGGTGATTGGTCAAGTCCATTACATCTTGTTGAAAAGAAGACTGGTTCTTGGCGCGCCTGCGGTGATTATCGACGACTAAATCAAATCACTGTTCCTGATCGTTATCCAATACCTCACCTACGCGATTTTACACATCAACTTCAAGATTGTGAAATTTTTACTACTCTGGATCTGGATAGGGCGTATTATCAAATACCTGTCGCACCAGAAGATCGACCTAAAACCGCTGTCATTACACCATTTGGTCTTTTTGAGTTCAAGGTGATGACATTTGGATTGCGTAACGCTGCTCAAACTTTCCAACGCCTTATGGATACAATTCTTCGTGGATTAGATTTTTGTCATATCTATATTGATGACATTCTCATCGCTTCAAAGTCACGAGAAGAACATTTAAAACACATTCGAATAATTCTCGACAAATTACAGCAGCATGGTCTATCGATTAACCTCCACAAGTGTGTTTTTGCACAGCCTGAAGTTATTTATCTAGGTTATGCTATCTCAAAGGATGGAATAAAACCTCCTGCTAATCGAATCGAAGCAATCCTGAAGTATCCCAAGCCTGAGACCATCGCTAGTCTTCGAAGATTTTTAGGTTCCTGGAATTTTTATCGTCTAAACATGCCTAAAGCTTCAGAAGTCCACGCACCTTTAATTGACCTTACAGTTGGTGCTAAGAAAAATGACAAACGACCTGTTTCATGGAATGCTGAGGCAGAAAATGCTTTTGAAGAATGTAAAAAACTCCTAGCAAATGCAGTGCAGCTAGCTTACCCAGTTGATAACGCAAGTTTAACACTTCGTTGTGACGCATCTGACAAATCAGTAGGCGCAGCTCTAGATCAAATTATCAATGGAGTAAGACAACCTCTAGGTTTTTACACAAGCAAACTTACAAAGACTGAACGCAACTATAGCACATATGATCGTGAGCTTCTTGCAGTCTTTAAAGGTATCAAATTCTTCAAACATCTGATCGAAGGTCATGATTTTACAGTGGTTACTGACCATAAACCACTAACATTCGCTTTCAATCAAGATTCTGACAAAGCTTCACCTAGGCAACAACGACAACTACAGTATATTAGTCAGTTTACAACAAAGATCGTTCACGTTCCAGGTAAAGAGAATGTAGTTGCTGACGCGTTATCGAGAATCAATTCTATCGATATGCCGACAATAGTTTCTACAGAAGATATCGCATCTGAGCAAGAAGGAGACGACGAACTCAAACATCTATTAGATTCAAAAACAACTTCACTGAAACTACGACAACTTCAAGTTGACAAATCTGGAAAAGTGATTTATTGTGATATTTCAGGTGACAAAATACGTCCATATATACCAGCTGTTCTACGAAGACAAATTTTTAACAACACACATAACCTATCTCATCCAAGTGGAAAAACGACAAAAAAGCTTATCAGTCAGCATTTTGTTTGGCCTTATATGAACCGTGACATCATTGAATGGGCTCGTACCTGCATGCCGTGTCAAAGAAGCAAAATTCATCGTCATGTTAAAAACATTCCACAACATATTGAAGTTCCTAGTGAACGTTTCAGACACGTCCACATCGATATAGTCACTATGCCACTATGTCAAGGTTATTCATACTGCCTTACCATGATTGATAGATTTACACGTTGGCCAGAAGCTATTCCTTTAAAAGACGTCACAGCAGATACCGTAGTAAATGCTTTCTTTTCTGGATGGGTTAGTCGTTTTGGAGCACCAGAAACAATAACGAGTGATAGAGGCGCTCAATTCGAATCAAGACTCTTTGACGCTCTCACAAAATTGATCGGATGTAGTCGCACTCGAACAACTGCATATCACCCTGCTTCAAACGGTATGATTGAACGATGGCATCGATCTTTAAAATCTGCTTTAATGTGTCATGCTACAAGTGATTGGGTTAGCACTTTTCCAGTTGTTCTCTTAGGACTACGTACTAGTGTTAAAGAAGATATTAAAGCAACTGCAGCTGAGATGTTGTATGGCACAACACTTCGACTTCCTGGAGAATATTTTATCGACGAAGAAGTAGGTCCAGAACCTCAAATTTTTGTAGAAAAATTCAGGGAAATCATGAGAAACGTGCGCTCAGTACCTACTGCACATCACATCAAGACTCGAGTTTTCGCACACAAAACACTTTATACGTGCACTCATGTTTTTGTTAAAGTCGAGAGAGTCAAACGACCACTTGAACCACCCTACGATGGTCCATACGAGGTACTGAACAGAATCTCAGACTACGTTTTCGAAGTAAACATCAATGGTGTTCCTACAACAGTTTCGACACAGAGATTGAAACCAGCTTTTGTTGAAAACGCAGACATAGTCGCTCCAACAGGGCCTACTCCATCTCAGGCACCTTCAACGTCTTCGGCAGCTACTCCAGCATCTGTTCCAGTGTCTCCGGCATCTTCTCCAGTGATCCAGCGTCCAACAGCTCTACGCACCTATTCAGCTAAAAAAAGGGTTCAATTCGTGACAGCTAAAAATATTAACTGTCACTCAAGGGGGGCTACTGCGGCAGCTCGTGAGGCTTTGCCTACTTGCCGCATGGCGGCTCCACCGACCGGTTCAAGGAACCCATCTTGCGGCCAGGCGGCCAAGTTCCAAGCCGGCCATCACATATTCATCCCGCCAGTAACGTAACATGGCGTTTCAGTGACTTTTTACCGCGCTTTCTATTGTAACGTTTTCTAACTAAAAATTATCTTTGTTTGCTATAATTATTAATAAATAACTATTTGTTTATAAATAAATCTTATGTGGTTCGCCCTTTTTCCTTACGGCATCCCCACATAAACAATTTCTTAAGGATCCTTCGCGGTTTCTAGGAACTGCAGTTCTACGGTTAAAAAATTGTTAAAACTCGGTTAAATTTAAGTTAAATTCCAGGTATTTTCTGATAAAAAAATGGTTAAAAACAGGTAAAAAAGCAGTAAAATAACTCGCGTATTTAACTGAATACTCACGATTAAATCTCGGCTAAATCCCGGTTGAATATTGGTTAAATAATAAAAATACATCTCGCGTATTTAACTGCAAAAAAAATTCGTAAAAACAAGTTAAATATCTGTTTAAAAAAAATATATTTTTCAGTAAATAATTGATTTTATATCTACTCTCGCCACTATAATTTGTTTATAACAGCCTGTAATTGTTATCAACAATGAAAAATCATCGATAATTGTTGGATTTGTGTTTTTCCAGCGAAATACGCTCAATACCGACTAGATGAGGTCACTGATGACTCTATATCTACTCTCGTGAATTTTATTTGTTTATAACAGCCTGTAAAATTAAAAAAAGAAAAATCGTCGAATCGACAAATACAGTTAGTATAGAAACATGTACGTGTACTTATTTGAATATATTTTAAAAATCAACCTCATTTTTGAAAAACCCATAACAACTCCTAAAAGATTAATCAATGTAAAAACGTGAATGCACTCCTTAAACGTTTCTACAAAAATAGTCTTCTTTCTTGAGACTTTGCACAGCAACTGAAGAGAAAACATAAAATTTTGATGAATTAAACGCGAAAATGTTCTCCCGATAGAAAATAGTTAATATATAATAGGGAACTGTCAATGGTGATTAGATGAAGAAGAAATCAGCTTGTAAAAATGCAGCAATCAAGTAAATGAAAAAAACTCATATAACTGGAAAAATCTCAAATCCAACGCAAATTGACGTTTTTTAATTATTCATAACAATTGCGGACTGTTATAAACAAATTATAGTGGCGAGTGTAGATATCTCATCAAAAACAGCCCCCTCCTTTTGGTTGTTATGTTCAGTGTCATAAAACGTACTTTTTTTTTTTTTTAAAAAGCAGTTACAATAATAATTCATTCAAATTATTGTTGATTCTTAGATTTAACAACTTAGCGTACAATGATTTTAGAACTTTTTGTCGTTCCATCATTATCATTGTTTATGATTGGCACACATTTTCGTATAGCCCAAAAAGAGGGGGCTGTTTTTGATGAGATTTCACGATTTTTCACTTAGAAATCTTTTCTAAGACTCGATTTCTGATCCTTTAGAACAAATTATATTTTGCAAACATAAAAAGTCGGTTTAAACTCATTTTACACAGTGAGCAACTTTGTTTCAGTAGAGAAGAAGATTTCCCGTTAAATAAACTAGAACACGATGCATAGATCCCATTTTCAATCTATGGGCTTCAATTGCCTTTGTAGAAATTTGTTGGACTAGATTCATGTAGGTTGAAAAAGTATTCGCATGACATTTAGCAGCAATTTGAAGAATATCGCAATCAGCCTCAAACCCAGAAGTTTCTAAATCCAGAATAATGATTAGAATTTCACAATTATCGTCTTCTAAATTTGCATCTTCACACTCGGCTCCATTTTCTGGTACCGCAGATTCCGTCAATAATGAACAATTGCTCTTATATGTAACTCCTTCTTGATTTTTTTTCTTATGCCCTAGCATGGTACGAAGTTTTTTCAGCTGCATTCGACGTTTTTTATACGCATGAGTTCTTATTAATGCACGTCTTTTCAATAAGGCTTTATCTTTGGAAAGAACGTCGCGTGTGTGATGTTTACCTGGTGACAGGGCCATTTTTTGCGTGTATCTTTCCCCAACATTCTCCTGTCCTACCACGCATGCAAAACGATAATCAGCAGATGCAGTTCTGCTATAACATCTTGATTTTGGAGCTTTGCTAGCCATCATAGCATTTAGACTCTCATTGGCATTACTGGATACACCATTACAAAATTTTTGAGCATTCGCTGCTAATTTATCAAATATACTTTTTAGTTCGTTTAATAATATTTGATCTTCAAAACCTCCTAGGATAACCTTATGCACATAGTTTTCCGGATCTGTCTTATAACCACACCAGGTACTACATTTGGAATGATCATTAAAAGCATGATAGGGTATACTTTCAATTGCTTTAGTTAAAGCTAAGCTATTGCCTTTATTTTGTGCTAGAGCGTAAGTGAAACATCGATGGAGATACATGATACGATCCTTGGTTGATTCTTTATGATTTTTTGAATATTATATATATTTTTTTTTACTTCTTCTGATGAATGGTTCGTGTCAGATTGTTTGATAATAGCATGATTTGCTGCAGCTCTGCATGCAGCGATTGTTGAGCTATCATCATCACCAACCAATACTCCAACTTCCATATTCTCAGCTCGAAGCACATCGCTGTCAACTACTAAGTTTTTTAGCTACATACGGATCCATACTTTTCGCTGATTCATAAAAATTTTTCCGGCAATTATCATGGTTTGATGCAGAATCGCGTCGATCACATGTGATACATATCTTATTGCATCTAGAAAAATCTAATACTAGACCCGTTAAACTGCCAATAATAGCTCCAAATCCATTTTTACTGTCGTACTGATGACCTGTGCCTCGAGTACTTCATCCCATGTCGTATGAAACAATGATTCTCACGACATCATCTCACGACATGGTTTCATTTTCATTTTTCGAACTAGATTCCTCGATTCGTGATGAATCAATCAAAGTTGAAGCTGTCGATGACTCAGTAACTGGTATTACCTCATTTAAAACTCGTTGATGAATAATAAAATTCCGTTGGCCTAAGTAAAATTAGAAATATTGACTATTAGAATAGGAAATGAATACAATCACATTGAATGCTGTAAAAATTTCTTTATTTTAATTTTAATAAATCACTATACAATTGGTGTAATGCATAGAACAAGATAGAGGATAGAAATTGAAAAGAGTATGCATTTTGTAAATAAATAAACATTGATTAAGTCTCATTGGACTAAATTGAATACAAAAAATGGTTTCTGCTTCATATTAAATAATCTATGTACAATTAATTTTATAATCACTAATATTCTCATCCCTATCTGACTATTACAGATTTATTGAAATTAAAATAAAATAATGGAAGTAAGTGACGTATTTACAATTGAGTTCGTAAAGCTTCAGATTGCTCTATAGTTTTCTCTTTTTCCAATTTTGCGGCTTTTTGGCAACTTTTTTTAGCAACATCTTCTGCTGCTAAACCCACTTCATTTTCATACTTTTTGTATGTTCTAAAATCGAAATACGGTATGTTCATACATATAAATAATTTTTGAAGATGAGTCCAATCTAATCCACCGTGTAATGCACCTGCAAGCAATTCAAATTAAGATCAGAAATAAATTAGCTGAATAGTGTGTATATATTGATTGAAAAAAAAAAAAATTTACCAATTACTATTTTTTAATTGACGTGATGACGAAGAGACCGCCTGTCTACTGAAGATTTTTGTTTATCAGTTGAAACTTCATTGATCAGCAGACATTTATGACATCTAACCATCAAAATTGACGCGAGTCCTATTCTTCTTTCAGATTCTACATACTCTAAAGATAATGCATCTTTGCATGAAATGCACCATAATTGTTGACCTAGAAATTTTAAGTCAACAATACGACGTCCATCGAGTATTTCTTTTTTCTCCGCGACACTTTTACTGATCACTGGTTCTTCAAAATCGTCACTTGCTCCACACGCGTCAATTTTACGTTTTTCTGCAGACACTTTTTTTCTTTTCAGTCCTAGTTCTCGTTGTTGCAATCTTTGTAGATACACTTTATGGCTAACAATTTTACCATTCTACCGGTAAACTGAGGATTTTGACATTGCAAACAATTATCAATGAGCATGCTGTAAACTCCAAGACAATAACCTCAAACGATATTCGTTAAATTAAAAATTCATACACTTTTGACTCCGATTGTATCTACAAATCTTCCTTAAGTTCCTCTTTCTATACTTACCTATCTCTAGACTGTACTATATTTGAAATGAATTATTTTCTTCGGTTTTTTTTGAAAAAAAATTTAGTACGTTCAATGACACAATAAACATAACAACTCAAAACTTGGCGTGGCTGTTAAGATTTTATAGAAGCATGAAATTGTGAAAATATTAAAAATATTTAAGCCAATTGATAAATAACAGTCACGCCAAGTTTTTAGTTCAATTTCTAAAAGAAGAAGAAGTATGGAGTAATTTTTACTTCTTACGGAGTAGTATAGACTCCAAATTTTAACTAATTTTATTAAGGTTAATGTGGAAGGCAAAGGAATAGTTGAATAAGGCGTTCAATAAAATTTAGAGTACACACGTGACATTAACAAGTGGAATATATTGATAAATAGAAAATAAAAAGTACAGTTACTAAATAGAACGATAGCTGACCCACAGCTTTCTTGTTTACAGACCGACTATATTTTTCAGACTAATTTATTAAAAAACTCTTGAATTACTCTAAGGACGAGCTTATTACTCATACATTGATACAGAGTATTAATGAGCTTCGCCCCTCTCCAAATTACTTTACATTTGAATTTGACAGTTACTTGGAGTATGAAAACTCGAATATCAATAAATTTTAATATTAAAAATGATTTAAATAATTAAAAAATTATTTTTATTTGATGATATTTATGTTAAATACCAATTTTACGTGTACACAGTAAAAAGATTGCGAGAAACGCTGATATAAAACCTAAGTAAAGAATATTTTTTTATTAGGGAGATTCGAACCTATGACCGCTTAACGTACGCAACTAAACCGACGCTTTAGCCTGCTCGGCTATCCGAAACAGTTGAATATGTCTTAAATTTTTATGTTTATATAACAATAACAAAGTTAGGCTGCCAGGTGGTGAAGTAAAAATTACTTCATCAGGAAGTAAAATATACTCCTTGATGGAGTATATTTTACTAGATTAAGAAGTAGAATATTTGACGAAAGAAAAGGAATCGTCGATAGTTTAAAAATTACTTCTAGTAGGAGTAAATAATACTACTCGAGGAGGTAAAATCTACCAAATTCAAAGTAAAAAATACTAAAAATGATTAACTATGATTTAGGAGTATTGTTTACTAATATGTGGAGTAGTATTTATTATTCAAGTAGTAAATCTTACTAGAAACGAAGTACGAAATACTAAATTCTACTTTCTCCGTAGAGTAAAGAGTACTCCTTCATTTTTCTGTGGATACAGCTCAATCTACAAAGAACGTAAAATTCATTTATCAAGTTTGTTCTGAAAATATCAATCCTCCGAGAACAGATATCGTTTGATATCTGTAAAAAAACGGCGCCACGTCACTTTTGTTTGAAAATCCGATATTTTCAAATTGTTCTACATGCAAAAAATGTTTGAAATCATAAAATTGCGCCAAGTTTGACTTATCATAATCGCAAAACCATAAAATTGTTTGATAAAAAAATCGCGTAAGTGTGCATAAGAAATTGTAGATCGAATGTTTGATCAAAATATTAATAAACATTTGATAGCATTAATCTTATTCGGAATTTTCCTTCGAGTGTTTGAAGTATCCTACTAAAACTGCTATCATCGGATGAAAGTAAAACTTTGCGCCACGTACACGCCTCAAATGACTCTGCAAATAATCAAATTCTCATTTTTGAATGATTATTTAAAAAAATGTTGAAACACCATAAAAGTTTGAAATCAAATGGAGTGCGATGCCTATAAAATCAAGTCTTTTTTTCTTTACTTTCGATGAATTGTGTGAGAAAATACTTTTTCGAATTTTCTTGAAATAATTTAAAAAGTAATTTTGTAGATGAAAATTTACGATAAATTTTTTTTTGCGATTAACTTTTACTTAATCTGGAAAAGTAGCTAGTTAAAAAAAATGTCATAAGACGTGGCCCAATTTTTGTAATGTTCTCTATCGATAGAAAATTTTCGGATATAATTTTTAAAAATTGGGCCACGTTCTTCTTCGGTTATAATATTTTCATAAGTCTCATTCAACTCTCTAATTGGAGACAATGGTGAATGCGGTGGACTCTAAGGATTGAAGTGAGTAAAATTTGGTGAGTATAATTTAATCCTTTCTTTTTCATCTAGGTTAGATGGATCAGGAATAGGATGATCAACGGATGTACCAGGTAAGTTAACTATTATAGATTTCGGTAATTGCTTTTACTTTTTCGGGATCTGTTCTTATCTCATTTTCATTGATAGCATGACCAAGGTAAGTAATTTGTTTTTGTAAGAATTTACATTTATCTTCATTTATCCTTAGTTTTGCGTTTCTGAGTCTTTTAAAGACTTCTTTAAGGTTGTTTGATTACGACTAATAGTAGAGTATAGGGAAAACCTATATTGAAATTTAATGTAAAGATAAATGACAATATTTGATATTAAATAAAACTTTACAATTAATTGACTAAATACAAAATTATGAAACTTTTGATCGTTTTGTTTACAAGAAATCTGAATTTATTGGTGCCATTGGATTTAGTGTTTAACCTAACTTTTAACTGAACTGTATACATTTATCATTGCTAAACTAAACGGTGTAATTCATTGATAAAGCGAACTTGATTTCTTTGAATTATTACCTATCACTTTTGAAATTATTATAGATTAATCTTCAAATTCGCTTAATGATCGAACAACTTTAAACATTTCAATGGGTCTAGATAAAGTTTTGCGTACAATGATAATGTCATCTAGATAGACAAAAACGTTCGGTTCTAATTCGGGACCAAGAATATTATCTAGAGTTCTTTGAAAGGTAGATGATGTGAAATGTAATTCAAATGGCATTACTTTAAATTGATAAAGACTATGACCAGGAACTGCGAAAGCAGTGATAGGTTTACTAGATTCAACTAGTGGAATTTGCCAATAACCATTTTTTAAATCTAAAGTTAAAAAATATTTTGCATCTCTTAATTTATCAAGAGTTGCATTTGCATGCGGAAGAAAATAAACATCTCTTTTGGGAACTTTATTGACTTTTCTAAAGTCAATACAAAACTGGTATTGTTTATTCTTCTTTTTTACTAATACTATAGGGGACACTAGGGGCTTGATGATGGCTCGATAACTTCTTCCTTTAGCATTTTATCAACAGAAGAGTCGATAATTGATTGCATTGCAGGATTACGAGGCGTATAACGAGTCTTAATTGGTTTAACACCT